TCTTCAAGTTTATTTTGCTAAATAAACAGATCATAATTGTGATTTTTCTCTAGTGTTTTCTTCTGTGTAACGGGTTACATTCAAAATGAATTCACATTTTCTGAAATCTTTGAGGTGGGATTTTTGTTTGGACATGCATTCATTAAACTTATAAAGTAGTATTTGATTCAAAAGAAGTAATTTCTCTGTTTATTGACTTTTCTGTTGTTTAAACATATTAACATTTAAAACAACAGCCAACATCTGAAATTTAAATAACACCAAAATTTGTTTTTAAGCATTAAGTTTTCATAGTGATTTGCAATCATGTCCTCAGAAGGTAACAAGAACACAGAATACTGGAAATGTAATCCACAATTGACATTTGATTATATGAAGATGATATACTTAGGAGGAACTTAAAGAATAAATTACTTATGTTCAGCATATTTGAACCTGATATATTTCTCCCTTGAAAATAGGAAATTTATTTGGTTTAAATTTTAGAGTAAGAACACATTCACTGATTTATAGATCTAAAGTAATAACAGTACCTTTCCTCTTACTATTCATTTTGGTTCATGGGAATACCCATATGTAATAAAGTTTTTTTTAAAAAAGAAAGAACTCAGAAAAAAACTCCTGTGAGTACCTTTGCAGTTCTAATTTTGACCTATTTACAAAGAGAAAACATAAGTTTGACTTTTTAACTATGCTTCCCTCATTATATGTGGAATCTAGAAGATGACTTCTGCGGAAGCATTTTTTCTTTTTCATGGAAAGTCTCTGGGGAGGATGTCATTACACACTGTTTAAAAGAATAATGTTTTCAAAAGAATAATGCTTCCGTTTGTCCTGCATGGATGCTCTTACTGGGATTTAAACTTGCTTTATGTGACAGATTCTCCCTTTACTTAACCTCATTCAACATTCTTTTCTTCTACTCTTTCCCATTCAGAAAGACGAACTGTTTGAAATGATCAAAAGGAAATTTTTAAAAAAAGGGGGGGGCGGGATTACTCTTTGAGGTTACAAGCAAACCTGGTCTCAGATCCAAAACTCAGGCAAACTGTAATGGAGATGAACTGTGCAAGAGAGTGCCAAGTCCAGTTTTCCTTTTGTTTTCCTTAGGTAAAGGCTAGACAGGCATGACCCATTCTAACACATTACCTCATTTTAAAAGTGATTTTTTAAAATATGGTAATCATGTATCTTTAAAACAAAGTGAATTAAAATTACATGGGGTTTTCTTTCCCTCCTTATAATGAATGTAATATTTTTCTCGCTTAAAAATTTTTCTTCAGGCAGTAATTTTAAATGGGTAAGTGAAAAATAATGCTAGAACAAATCACAGTTCTTCATAATGAGATGTGTTTCCTATCAAGGATGGTACATGTTTGAGTAAAACTAAGGAACTCTTTGTGTCTTCAAGAAATCCAAGCAATATTAAATCTCCCTTGAAACTGAGTAATCAATTATGAAATCTGTTTCTGTGTTGCTCACTATGAAAGGAGCATTTCAAGTTCATTGGCTACTATGTGAGCTGTTTTTAGGGGATTGGCAGGAATTTTGGTCCTTGCCTTAAACAAAATGTGAGCATGATTAGCTACAGAGCTGTTTTATGTAGTGGGAGTAACATATTCCCTTGTTTGTAACCAATTAACTTATAAACAGTCCTGATGATAGATGAGACCTATCATTTACTGAGAGAACATTCATTAAAGAGCATTGTTACAATTGTGAATAAAGTCAGACAGAAGACCTTAGACTGTTTCAATAATTAAAAGATATCACCTGGACTATTGAATTAATTCTGGAAAAAAATATTTTCGTCATAGTTTTTACATATCACATAGTCTAAGGTTATTAAAAAGAAAGTTTTAACAATACTTTGCACACTAAAAAATAAGTGTTTAAAGAGAAGAATTTACCTTATAGTTTATTAGGCTTAAAAAAATTTTTTTAAATAGTTCACAAGCTACTCACAAAGTAATCTGAAACTTCTCCAAATTTTAAAAGAAAGTAAGCTATGGAATGTTAAATTTATAAGTTTAAAAATAAATTCATGTGTTTCCTTAGAAATATAAAATAAGGTTAAAGTGGATATAGTTATGGGTACAAGGGCCACGTGTTTATCCTCCAAACCGGAACACTTGTTTTTTAAGGAAAATGTTATTTTTTTTATTGGCTTCATTTTTAATTTTAAAATCACGTAACACTTCATTCCATAGAACAGAATCAGTTTTCCTATGAGCCAAGCACTCATCAAAAATAATTTGATGAGTTAACATCAGAGTATTTATTTTGCTTACACAAAATAAGGACAAGGAAACTTCACTATTTCACCAGTTGAGAATGGCTGTTCTCCCTCCAATCCAGATTTCTCTTGGAGGACCAAATATGTCAGCTTGGTTTGATTGACTCCATGTTATTGTTGTTGTTTTTCCTCTGGAATATTGTCTCTGTTGAAAAACTGGCTTCACAAAGAAGGTGACAGCAGGAAAATTTCAGAATCCAAAGCTTAAAAATAAGTCTTGGGCAGTTTGGGGTTATTTTCTATCTCTGGGAGGGATAATCCGGTGTCTGAGGCCTGGGGACAGAGGCAAAGTCCCCAGCTGCTCATCCAGGAGATGTCAATCTCAGTAGCGTCTGTTGTCCTGACCTGTGCTCGCCCAGGATGACGGTGGGTAAGGAGCAGCAGGTCACAGGGGCCCC